CCTATTTTCTTATTCTTTTCTCTTTCTCTCTTTCTTTCTCTCTCTCTCTCTCACACACACACATTCTCTCTATCTCTCTTTCTCTCTTTCTCTCTCTACTTATGTCTCGTCTGTAACAGCCAGGACGGAGTTCAATCGCCGAAAACGTGAAGCCTCGAGAAAGAAGGGTATGCGTTATCGGTGGTGTTTAACGAGGTTCACGTGGCCAGTCCCTCACCCCTGGCCGCGGGGGGTGGCGGAAGTCGAGCGGATGGCGGTGTCGAGTTTCCTTCCGACCTGGCGGGCGGTTCTCGGTCGAAGAGCTGGTGCTGAAGAGCGTCACCCGTCCACGAGGACACGTTGGCGCTGTTCTGATTGCTCCCGTTGGAGCCTGGCGTGCCGGGCGAGTGGGAGGGCGACGGTGTCTGGAAGAGCATGGATCCGGATGGAATGGAGGATTTGCCGTCGAGCAACGACGGCCCGTTGCTGGACGCCGCCATTGGCTGCTTGTCCAGTGGGAATCCGGCGCCAGCAGCGTACACAGAGCCGAACAATCCCGCGTATTTGCCTGCGGCCACCGAGTGGCTCGGTAACCCGTTGTTACTCTGTATCACCGAGATCTCGTTCAGCTGTAAGTAATGCACGTCGACTGGTTAGGTTTATTTAAGGAGGCAATTACCTACAAAAACGAAAGAAAAGAATAAATCGTTAAGAGCGTAGGGGTATGCTGGATTTTTCCGCTCTGCCTGATGGGTTAACCACCTTTCGTGAGAGAGGGAGGGCCTTTATCTGTCTGATTAGAGGAGGGGGTCTTGACGATTTATGTAAATTGAGATTCGATTGTTTGCCTTTGTCTTTGTTTAGATGAGTTTGGGTAATATGCGGGAGATGATAAAAGTTGATCAATTGATCACAATTTTAAGTGTTTTTATTCGTTTTTTGAAGAGAATCTATTACTCATATGAAGTATAAATTATAGAATATCAACGGTGTTTTTGAATGATAATTTAAAAATATTTTTATTTGTCTAATAAAACGATAATTAATATGTGGAAGTCTTGTTAGAAAGATTAAAAAATATTTTAATATATTATAAATATATTACATGTATTGTAATATGCCTTCCTTGAGAATAGATAGTTGAAATAATCAAATATTATTTTAAAACCAATTAAATTGATTATATACTCGACATTTTTTTTTAAAATACTCATTTTATCTCGAAATTAAAAAATTTTAAACTCTATTCTTTTTAGGTCGAAACTGAAACAATTACAATTATATCAGTTTAAAAATTGGGTCGAAGATTAGCAAATATATTGACATTACTTTGAAAGAAGCATACTTCAAATCATCATAAATAATATTCACTTAAAAAAAAAAAAAAAGAATTAAAAAAATATATATTATCGAATATACAATATAAATAAAAATATATAATTGAATTCTGAAATTCTCTGTATCGAAATCTCGATATCTCAAAATTTATAAAATCGATGCTTCATCGTAGTTTGTCATGAAATTATAATTTTCGATTTTCGAGAATCGAAATTGCTTAACAATGCAATTTTCCTTGCGTGGATCAATTTCACCCAATTAAACGTCTCAAATTCACGAATGAAAAGGAAATATATAAAGGAGATAAATATGAAATTAATCGGATTAAACGTAATCGGAGAAACGGCTCGACTAATTTTTAAAGATACACAACCACTCACTTTCTGCTGTACTCCGTTAAGGAATGGCGCGGGTAGATAGGGATAGAAAAGATCCGGCCGTCGCTGGAGGAACTCCGAGTCCTTGGGGGTGATGGGTAGGGGAGGCAGATCCAGGGACATTCGACGGCCTCGTCGGGAAGCCCCGTTGGTCCACATATGCGTGCCCATGTGCACCTGCGGATCAAAAGAACCGTGTGTGTTTGGTCAACTAGGCTCCACCATGTGTGTGTCGTACTTATGTGTCGCTGATCTTTCATCGAGCTTGCGATTATTCTTCGTAATACCTTCACGTTTTGTACGTTACGCATTAGCGTTAGTACAAGCGGTAGCAGCTAGCTGGTGTTAGTGAATAAAACTCGAAGAATCCAGAGACACGGGGGATACAGCGGAGAGAGAGAGAGAGAAAGAGATAGAGATAAAGATAGAGAGATAGAAGGCAGACAAAAGAGAAAGAGACAGATAGAAGAGAGAATAAGACAAAGAGTGAGAGAGAGAGAGAGAGAGAGAAGAGAATACGAAGGAGAGATAAAGACACGGATAGACATAGAAAGAAGAGAGAAAAGGGGAGAAAATGACGGTGTATACCTTGAGATTGCCCTTGGTGGTGAAGGCCTTCTGGCAGACGGTGCATCGGAACGGTTTGTCGCCCGTGTGAGTTCTCATATGGATCTGGAGCGCCGAAGATGAGGAGAAATTCTTATTGCAAATCTGGCACAAGTGTTTGCTCGGCACGCCTGGAAATACATACACATTTTCTCTGAACAGACCCTGACACAAGTAGAGCGAGGTACTTCTTCAAGCTTGTCTCTTTTCTTCGAAATGTGTCTATGTGTGTATGTGTGTCTGTCTGTGGTTTCGGGGCAAAGAGGGGGAAACAGTGATGGTGTAGTTTCGATCGATTGGACCGAGATCGATGATTCGTTACGAAATACATATATATATATATATGTAGATCAGAGAAAGATATTCGTCAGACGAAAGAGACGAAATAATCGAGAGATGAAAGAAGAGGAGAGCGTAACCTGCCACCAAGGAAAGACAGAAGAGAAAGAGAGAAAGAGAGAAAGAAAGAAAGAGAGGGGCGCGTAATATATATATATATATATATATATATATATATATATATATAAAGAAAGAGCGGTGGTGCGGAGAAAAGCACAGGCTGGTGGTGCACAAGTATAAGCGAAGCTGAAATATATATTGAAACAAAACAACGTTCGTCGATTCTTGCGACTATCAGCGGCTTTCTCAAGCTCGAATGCGATATATATATATATATACACGTTTTAGCGAAACAAACGGGTACAACTCTGCCAAGCCAAGCTTCTCTTGGACCGTTTCTCGAATTGTGCTCGATGAAGAAGCAGACCGAACAGAAACGCTTTTCAGAATCAGTTCCCAAGCTTACTTACTGGCTGGTCTCTTTGGCGCTGGCAGCTCTCCCTCGGGCGGAGATCTCTTCACGGCGATGCTCTGCTCTATCGAGGTAGGAGGCATCGGGGGAGGAGGTGGCGGAGGCGGCGGAGGCGGCGGTAAGCTCGAGTCCTCGGCGCACATAGGACTTCTCGAGGTCTCGTGCTCCTGAGACTGTTGCTGATGTTGCTGCTGTTGTTGTTGCTGCTGCTGCTGTTGCTGTTGCTTCGAGTCGCTGAACAGATGGGGCGGCATGTCCCGGATCTTGTGGGTCAGCATGTGCTGCTTCATGTTCCCCTGTAGGAGAGAAAATAACGATTGGTTACATTGTGAGCAGGCCGGACTTGCGTCGAGTTCAATCACTTCTTCGATTACACCACTTTGCACCATTTCTCGCTGTTTCGTATCATTTACTTGTTACTATTTATATATGTTTATAAACGTTAAGTAGTTTAGTTTAGATTTTTTTTTTATCTTGTTTTAATAACCTCACAATAGACAAAAATTCATCTTGTCGCATTCCATCCAATAGAATGGAAATACATATATGGAGATTAGATCGAAAGCGGAAATAAAGATGCATAGTGGTGTTATCATATTTCATTGTGTTCATGTGTCAAAATTCAGCAGGCTCTTACCAGGAGGCTGTGCGCCGAGGGTAGAAGTCCGAGGGCGGGCGACATCAGCGGGGGTAGGCGGATGGCAGGATAGACAGGCGTAAGCCCCCGCCCCCCTC